AAAAACAACTTACACCCCCCCTCTTTTCCCCAAAAATACTCATACCCCCCCCCCCCCCCCCCCCCCCCCCCCCAATACTTGGTCTGACCCTATGACATCACTGCTGACATCATGCAGTGTATAAATGGAGGAAATGGTTGGGTGCCTCCCCTTTAGCCTCGAGAACACATGGTGCGTATGGTAAACAAACAATTGACAATCATGGTTAGATTTATAGATCAGTGTAATATGGGGACAAATGGTGTGTTCTCACCCACTTTATTAGTCTGGTGAATTATGAATTAACAATACAGAATAAAACCTGATTGTGCCACTTATTGACTCTTTCCCCTCTATGACTCAGGCTCTTTTTTATCAATACATGTACACAGTATATATCTTAGATACATCAGTATTTCTACTTCCACTGAATTGAAGTGAAGTGGAGGCTGCCTGTTTACCCGTTGCCATGGTGAATCGTGGAATCGGAGCTCCATTGATGATGGCTTTTTCATTCCCCTTTATGAGAACTCTGATCAGCTGTTCTTGAACCGAAAACTCAGAGTTTTCCATCTCGGGGTTAGGCTCGCAGTTAGTTAAACCTGCTTTCTGAAACGAGGCCCAGTTCACTCACAACTCAAAACAAACGCATGGCTTTAACTAGGCTACTAATGCTGAATGAATCCCATTATCTTCATTAAGGGGCAGACTCCACCTCTCAAAACACATGTAGGCATATAGCTTATTTTCATTCTTATTTGGAGCCAATAAACACTTTCAAGTATTTTTTTTTTTGCTTTATTAAGATATGTTGCCGTACATAGCCAATAGAGTGAAAATTTGTAGAATCATGTTTTGATTGGAGTATCCTTTTTAATTTTGTAATACCGCAAATCCCCTAAAAATACCATCCTATAAGTTTTAGGTCATATCGCCCCTAGGGCAAAGTTGAAATCATTCAAGAGAACAAATAAGTTATTTGTGTGTGCTAATTATTAATAGGAGAGCATGATTTATTAGTTTGTGCAGACTAATTCATTTTTTTCTCCAGGTTAGTCCTGCCATGCCAGTCAGGAACGAACATTTAGTGTTCCTTTTACAAGTAGCATTTGTAGCAGCTATGACAAAGTTATGCGTATGTCAAAGATTTCACATATTGTCCACTACATAGCAGCTACTGTGACACTTTCCCCACCAGCATGATTGTAAAATGTGTTGTTGTCGACAGATCTTTGATGTACAGCGAGGCCAACAGGAGGGAGACGTTTATGTCGTGGCCACATGCTGGGTACAGGTGGGCTCAGCCTGATCCAATGGCTCAAGCAGGATTCTACCACCAGGTAGGTTGAGAGAGAACTCAGAAGAGGCATAAACTCAGTTTATATCTGTTTACTCTCATTTATATATTCATTTGTTATATGCATGTTGTCAAAGGGCTATTTGCCTGCACAGTAGAGCCTGTTGGTGTTTCAGGTCACTGGAACACTATTCAGCTAGAGCAGGGGTCGGCAACCTTTACTATCCAGAAACATTTTGCCCTATTTTCCACCAAATAAAATTTGTCTGGAGCCGCAAAAGCTATTTGATATCACAGCTTATAAAGTTTCATATATAGTTATATTATATATACAAAAACTATAGTTTGTTGTATTTATGAAAATATAGAACAAGAATAAAGACAATTCTTGACATTTTATTGCTATTTTACTTGTTGGAACAATATCAAACTCTTATGAAGAGGAGAGTTTGCTGCAGCAGTTGAGAAATCACTCTTTTTCGCTCATCTCCAGCGTGATACTTATCAGTAAATGCTGTGTGTTTGTTCTGGAAGTGTATTTGCAAAGTTCTTGACACATATCAAGCATACAGGTAAGCCAGCATCGTTGGCAGTGAAAGCAAATGAAGATGTCCACGCAAAATTAAACTCTGTTTTCCTCCGTGACATTTCTTTTTTGGGGTTTATCGAGGGCGTGGGTCTGAAAATCATGATCAGCCACCTGCAGGGAAAGGCGCCTGACAGCGATGTAAATTTAGTTGACGAAATATTAAAACATTTTATATTTTCAGTGACACAGTATCTCCTCAAACTCCAAGATAAGAGGTGTTCCATTTGAAAGTGTGTCCACTGTGCAAAAAATATAATAAAAATAACCGTTATTTATTTCCATGTTGTTTTTTGTCAAAGCCTGAGGCCACGTCCACACTACTACGTTTCCATTTGAAAACACATGTTTTGCTACGTTTACACTGAGCGTCCACACTACGCCGGAGTTTTCAAAGCACCGAAAACGGATACGTTTGAAAACTCCAGGGTTACCTTTTCATGTGGACGCTCGTAAACGCATACGTTTAGAAACGATGACGTAGACACCCATGTTCGCTACTTGATTGGTTCACGACGTGTCGTTACCTGATTTGTCAAGCCCCTATCACGTGACCCTTTCCCGGAAGATCACAAACGACAATAGTCTTGATTACCGATCGACTACCAGGTTAATTCAACATGGACAACTGATTACAGGTGTGACCGTGTTGTCTTTACTAGCAGCTGTTGTCCAGTTAATGTCTGCATTTCTGCGGAGGAAGCAGCTGTTATTGGAGCGATTAGTGAGCGGCGTATCCAGCAGCGTTATCAGACCTACGGAGCGGCCGTCTGAAGTCACGGGGTACATCCCAAGTCTCTTATTTGTCATTTCCTCACTTCTCGCTTGAACCGGAAGTTGTTCTGTGCCGCTATATTGACGGCTGTCCCAAAGCTCTTATTTAGGAGGAGCGAGGAGCCATGAGTGAGGACACATGAGATCAGCCTTCCAGGAAGTGTTTTAACGGCCGACACGCCCCCTCATTGTTCAACATCTCACTTGTTTATAGTCCTGTTATCTGTTCGTTTGTGCACTTTATTTTAGATTTCACTTTTAATATCTTTCTACTTTGCACTGTTGATTGTTTTTGATTGTTTTTGATTGTTATGCACCTCCCATCATGTCAAATTCCTTGTATGTTCAACATACCATGGCAATAAACGGTTCTGATCAGTTATGTGATTGAACGCTGCAGCCGATCAGACTGATACGATTTTTTTCAACATGTAAACAGTGAAGACGGATCGCAGATTAAACTCTAGCTTTATATTTGATTAGTTTTCTGATTCACCATCTGGTTTAAATATGTTTATTGGAGACTGAACAACAAAAGGACCACAAAGAAGTTTCTTCATTTATTAGAAAGATTTGTCTTTTCTTGATCTGATATTTCCCTCAATAACTTTTATTATGGATACAATTAAAGTCAGAGAGAGCTTTTTACATCATTTATCATCATTTAAATCAGTCACGTGAGGCTGATAGTTCCTGAGTGTTTGAGTTTTATCATTTAAGTTTAACGTGAAACATGGAGCCTATAAATTAATTCCAGTATTTAAGTTAAGAGAAACCATAATCATATTCTGGGTTAATTAATAATGACGCCACAGTCACAATTTCAAAACGTACAGACACAAATAAGTCAAATGCATTCTGTCGGTAGAAATCGATCCGGCGCTTATAAACAGAACACAGTTTGTTAAAGAGGTAACAGGCTACAGGGAGAGAACACCTCTACTGTGATGATTACTCACAGTAATGTGTGATGGTCTTTATTAGTTTTATTAGTTACTATTATTAAGTACAGTGATCATGTGAACAGACAAAAAAGTCTCTCCAGCTCTCAAAAGTCTCTCCAGCTGTTAAAGCCGACTGACAGCTGATCACAGCTGATCCTCCGTCATCAGAAACAGACGTCGCTTCACGTGACGCTTCAGAGGAAAGGTCGTTTCATGTCTGTTAAAACATATTTCCTTGTTTCCTCTCTCTTCGCATGGTTTCCTTGCGTCTCTCCATGCATCCCTGGTGGGAGGGACTAAGACGCAAGGAAAGGACACAAGTGAGGGAAACGGGGATGCAATTAAGAGACTTTAGGAAGTGTTTTAACAGCCGACACACCCCCTCATTGTTCATCAGTTATGTGATTGGATGCTGCAGCTGATCAGACTGGTATGAAACTCCAGTGATATTTACAAAAAGCTGATCAGAGTGAAGACAGGTCACAGATTAAACTCTAGTTTTATATTTGATTAGTTTTCTGATTCAACTGTCTTTATTAGTATTATTAGTTACTATTATTAAGTACAGTGATCATGTGAACAGACACAAACTTCTCAAAAGTCTCTCCAGCTGTTAAAGCCGACTGACAGCTGATCCAACTGTGATCAGAGCCGCCGTCAACAGAAACAGACGTCGCTTCACGTGACGCTTCAGAGGAAAGGACGTCTCATATCTCTTAAAACATATTTCCTCGTTTTCTCTCATGGTTTCCTTGCGTCTCTCCATGCATCCTTGGTGGGAGGGACTAAGACGCAAGGAAAAGACGCAAGTGAGGGAAACGGGGATGTAATTAGGAGACTTGGGATGCACCCACGATTAGCGGCTTTGAGCAACCAATCTACTTCCTGTTTAAATCGGCACCCACCCGCATGCCCAGTGTACGTAGTCACGTGATATTCATTTTCAGGCGTTTTAGTCTGGACGGAGATCATCTCGAAAACGATGCTGAAAAGCCGTGTGGACGGTGATCGTATTAGTGTGGATGTAGACTCAGGAAGCCGCAACAGAGGGGCTGAAGAGCCGCATGCGGCTCCGGAGCCGCAGGTTGCCGACCCCTGAGCCAGAGGAAGAAACATGGCTGCATTTAACCGAATGTAACCATGGAGACTGCTCTTGTTAAGACTTATGTGCTTTGGTGTCATGCCAACAACCTAAAGCTATAGAAAGCATCAGTGTCTGTGCAAAGGAACAATACATGTTAATGTCTCCATCAGCAACAACCATTAGATTAGATACAATGTTGAATTCATTGCACAGTAAAAGTAAAAGTACTGAAACAACGAAATGCAGTTTAGCATTTAACGAGAAGTGCAAAAATGGGGTAATATATGAACGGTTAGGGGGTAATTAATCCTACATTAAAATATATACTGTATGAACAGTGTGATTGCTGTAATGCAGAGTTTGCAAGGTAACAGCTGCTGGTCCTTTAACAGAGAGACCTGTAGAGCCTTCCAGAAGGGAGGATGGCAAACACTTGGCAGGCATCGCTTGTGCGACAGCCTCAGCAGGAAGCGGGGAGTGTAGAACTGCTGATGCGTTGGGCAGTTTTCACCACCCTCTGCAGTGCTTTCCGGTCCAGTAGCCGCGATAGAAGTTCACCAGAATCGGAGGAGACGGATGGACCTTCTTCAGATGCTGGTCTGCCTATTTGAACAGGGTCAAAAGTGTTGAGGGTCCATGAGAAGATTCATGGAGATGTGGACACCCAGAAACTTATATCCAGGGGTGGAGCCTTTAAAGGTGTGTTTGCCTTCAGATGCTGCCACCTTCATCAAAGTTTACCGATTGCCTCAATAACGTTATCAGGTTCACTGTTAACATTGGGTTGAAATCTAAAATAATGCCAAATGGGTGCTTCTGCTTTATGCTTTGACACCATATCCTCGAGCATTTCATCAAGCTTTTGTCAAGTGATCTGATTCTGCAATCAGCAATATCGTCCCCATTCACTTAAACTGCAAAGGGATTCACTTGTGATAGCTAAGTTGTGATAGAAAGATGATGGCTTCAAGGCTCTCTTCCTGCTGACATCTGACCTAACTTCAAGTCCAGCCATGTTCCGACTGTTGCATTCACTCATGCAGCTGCAACTTTTATGTTTCCAATATTTATTTCAAAATTTTTACAAAGGCCTCTCTTCTTAACTAGAGACACAGAGGTGAAATCTGATCGGATAAAAGCTCTACTTAAAACAAGCTGCACTGGAAGCAGAGCAACTGAGGAAGACAGGAGCTGTGCAATGAGAAAATAAGATAATGGGAAAAATAATTAGAATACATGTAGTGTATTTATGAAAAATTATAAAATAGCTATAACTTTGTGATTTTGTTAAGGCCAGCAGAGAAGGCTTTGCTGGCCCTGACGGCCCACCACTGGTTGATTGCTAGTGGCAGCATGCAGCCCTTTCATTGCAAACTAAGCATTAGCATCTGGGGGGGAAATGCTGCAGTCACAGCAGTCCATGTGAACTCTCTGAGCAGATAGAAAAGTCCACACTTATCCATGAGGTATTCTCAGCTAGCAGTAACTGGTGTTAGCGGTTTCCTTGTGACAAGTTTTGTTTTCATAAATGTAAAGTAGCCCACCTCTGGTCTTACTGGAGAGATCTGCTGTTCTATCGGCCTGGAGGATGTAGCTCCACATTAGCTCAGGTGTGCTATCGGGAACATCACTGTTGAGTGATGTTCCCTCAAAAATCTTGATGCTGCAGTCCATAATTATTTTATGAGTGATTATCTGCCGTTGCAGCTCATCCATTTTGTTCACCAGAGACCGTTCAATGGGGAGAAAAGTGCTGTGTGGAGGCGGCCGATGATGAGTTTTAGCTTTGCCCTTAGCCCTCCTCTCTTTCCCTGACTTTTGTGCAGATGTGAAACAAATAGACAGATGACTAATTTATAGAATCTGGAGAGACACGTTGTGCACCCTCCGCCATCTTGGTCCAGATGATTATAATTTACAATAACTTAATCATTTACCCTGTCTATCCACAGCCTGCCTCAACAGGGGACGACAGAGCCATGTGTTTCACCTGCAGTGTGTGTCTGGTCTGTTGGGAACCTACAGATGAGCCCTGGTGAGTGGATATCATTAATTATGCATTAATGTATCTACGATAACATATCATTGATGACCAACACTTCTCCACTACCCACAGGTCTGAACATGAGCGCCATTCTCCCAATTGTCCGTTTGTGAAGGGCGAGCACACACAGAACGTGCCGCTGTCAGTGACACTGGCCACCAGCCCCGCCCAATTTCCCAACAGCCCTGACAGTTCGGACAAGATCGCCTGCTATGGCTTCGGCAGCTGCCCGCAGTTTCTGGCTGCTGCCACCAAGAGGGGCAAGATCTGTATCTGGGATGTCTCCAAAATGATGAAGGTCAGAGCATCTAACTGTGAATATATGCGAGTGCATCATCTGTCTTGTGTTTCACCTTCAAAAGTGTTTGTGTCAGACGGTACGTGTTAGTATTGAACTCAGAGTCTAGAGTGTGTAATTGTGTGCTGAACAGGTGCACTTGAAGTTTGACATCAATCCGTATGACCCGGCCATCCTGAGGCAGCTGATTCTGTGCGGTGGTGAGCAGAGCCACCATGAGCTGACTGAGTCTCGGAGACCAACTCTGGCCTGGCTCGAGGAGTCATCCTCCTGCTCTGACCTGCCCAAGCTAGAGGGAGACAGGTGAGACACACGCACCCACTGATTCATTTAAGTATATACACACACAACAAATCCTTGGGGTTGAGGTTGCTATGGAAACATGTCACCATGGTGTATAGCAGAGAAGGACGTTTCCTCAGTGAAAACCTCGCAGGCTACAGTTAGTTAGGTCATTGCTGCTAGGGCAGAAGGTCGGATATAGAGATTGAGAGTGATCACTTCAGTGCTGAGTTGCTACAAAGACCTAAACTGTGATGAGCTAGAAAGAGCAGTGCAAGACACATTGAACTGGGACAGACGACTCAACCTGCGGCTAATTGGAGCAGCTGACGAATATTTCAGGCACCTAGCTGAAGAAGTGGAAATGGCTGAGAGTGAACTTCAACAAGTGCACCGGCCACGAGCACCCATGCCAGATGAAAACAGTCCTCCGAGACCTTTCATCATGAGATTCCAAACTCTCTGAAATGTGAATGAGTAATGGCTGGAGAGAAATACAAAAAGTGTAACTTTTCTGCCTTGATACATTATTTATGTACCACAGCAGTGAATAGGAGTACATGTATCTGGTTACTTTCATCTCTAACAGAAATTTGGTAAAATGATAACATTAATGTAAACTTTGTAGTGTCCAAACTCAAATATCTTTTACCTGCATGCCTCTCTCATCTTGGGATGGTGCGCACATGTCAGGAATGTACTTTGCGTGTGCAAAGAAAGAAGATTTCTTGCCAGAGTATGTGTTCACACTTCGGCTATCGGCCAGATGACAGACGAGCCTCTTTGGGCAAGGAGCTATATTTCTGGGGTTCTGGTGTAACCAGCAGATATGCAGGTCAAGACTTCCTTTCTGTGAGCTTCTTATTGTTTACAGTCCGTTTAGCAACTTAAGATGTGAGATTGTAGCTGCAGTTGAGAGACAGCGTGTACTACCGGATCATTTCACAAGTTTCCAGTTCACAAGCTAATTTTATACCAATGGAAATCTAAATCATCTCCAGACGATAGTCAGTGGGCTCAATGCGTCCCATCTCTTGCTCTGCATATAAATGCTGAATCTGTTTGTAAAGATTAGATGGCCATTAAAGCTGAATCTGATGTTTTATCTTCATACAAAATCCTACAAAAACTTTTTTACTATGTTATGTGCCAGACTATTTCTTGGTCAGTACCAGTAAAGGTACAGGTTTTGCCAGCAACCGTCATTGCATTGTTCAAAGCTACAGAGGCCATAGATTGTAACTGTCAACTAGCCGAATATTACCTCACATCAAGGGGGACAATTCAGCAAGATATTTATCGCCTGTTCATTTAGAAATGTATCATTTTGATTTCCTTGTTGCCTCAAGCTGTTAGTGAGAAACTCCTCAATAGCATGGCCGTGCCACAGAATGATCTCTGAAACAACATTTATAATAAATAAAAGATCAAAAGTGTGGATGAGTGGAAGGAGAGTGGCCACAAACTGTACCACAGCCACTCAGTCAGTCAGATTCTTGTGTGTGTGAGTGAGTCACAGTTCTCAGTTTGTGTTTCATCATGTTTTTTTTCTTCTTTTCCAGTGATGACCAGTTGGAGGACTCAGACAGTGATGAGCATTCCCGATCAGAGTCAGTAACAGGTATGAAGACTTGAATTTGTCCTTTCTAAGGGCTGGTAGTGCTGTTGTTGTTTGGAATTGGATGAATCGTATCTAAAGCCATGTCGATCCATCTCTTTATGTTAGGCCTCACTGAAATGGCATTTCCCATGCTTCATTGGTGTTAGGTTCTAGACAGGAAAAACCTCAGCCCTCTTCTTTTACCTCTGTTCCAGGCCAGCAGTCCCAGTGGGAAAGCATGGACGTGAGCCTAGGGGTGACGTCGCTGAGTGTTCTCCAGCAGCCAGAGAAGCTCCAGTGGGAGGTGGTGGCCAGTGTGCTGGAGGACACGGTCAAGGACCTGGAGGAATTGGGTGCCAACCCCTCACTAAACCAAGCCAAGGCCCACAGCCAGGCCAAAGCAAAGGATAAGGTCCCTGACCTTCACAACATTCCCTTCCCCTGTCTGCTGGCCGGAGGCCTGCTCAGTTACCGCTCAGCATCAGTCAACCCCATGGCTGGACCCCCACCCACAACCCCAGCTAAAACACGCAGGACCACAGATGGTCCTCTAAGGACTCAGGGGCCTGAGCCCTTCCTAAATCCTGGACCTCTACAGGACCAGGGCCCTATGGAGATAGAGACCTGCAACCCCCAGACTGCAGCCCAGGAGCAGGTCTTCTCTAACCTAGTAGGTTCCCAACCACCAAGCCCCTCTTCTCTGCTGGCTGTTCGCAGGACTATACCCGTGCTGTTGCTGTACAGTATTAGAGAGGTGGATGACAAGTCCTCAGGGCAGGTGTTTGCTCAAATGAACAACCTGATGAGCAAGGGGCTCCACGAGGAGGGCTTCACTGTGCCACAGATTATAGAGATGGAGTTCGACACGCATGAGCAGCTTCTTCTTCAGGATCCTCCCATCACTTACATTCAGCAGTTTGCTGATGCAGCAACTAATCTGGTAGGGTTAGACGGCCACACGGACAAATGGAGCACGCTGGCTGCAGCCACTGCTTCCACCCCGCCTCGACCAGGAGCTCTGGTGCAGTGCTTGAGGCTGCCGAAACAGCTGGAAGAGGAGAATCTTTACGTGGACTCTATCACTCCCTGCTGGGACGGTGTGCACCTACTGGTCGGCCTGCAGCCGTGTAGCGCTGAATCTCTGAGCGCTACAAACCAAGTGGAGGCTCTCAACAATCTCAACCGCCTGCACTCTGCCCTCTGCAGCCAGCGCAAAGGAGACCCCCTACACTCAGTGGCCAATGGGGTGGAAGGCCACCACTCAGGGGGGTCACCGCCTCAGACACCCCTCATTCTGCCCCCAGGAGACCACCAACAACAACAACAGCAGCAGCAGCAGCAGCAGCAGAGGTCCCCAAGTGGTGGGAGTGGAGGCTATCTTGCACTCTACAAACTCAATTACTCCACTCGTATTGTCACCTTGGACGAGGAACCAGTCAAGGTGCAGCAGATCTGGGACCCTTGGGATGCCATCACCTCTCTTATATTGCTTCCTCCAGATGTGCTTGATGGCAGGGAGGATGACAGTGAAGAGGCTCCTGAGGAGGCGCACCCCTCTGGGTCTAAAAGGGGCTCATCTGGGTTTGGAATGGCCCCGGCAGGCTCTGCTGGCTCTGGAAATGGGACTGCATGTGGAGCAGCCACAACCAGCAGCAGCAGCAGCTTTACTGTCACCAGTCCGTCCACCTCAGCCTTGGGCCAAAAAGAGTGCAAGCGGTTAGAGGTGACAGGCCTGGGCCACCTGGTGGTCACCACGCGGGCTGGGTACATTATGATACTGGACCTGTCCACGTTGGAGGTCTTGGCCAAGGTGGAGCCGCCTAAGAAGGAAGGGTCAGCAGAAGAGACTGACCCCTTTGTCTCAGTTACCTATTGCTCTGGGACTGATCGCCTTTGTGCCTGTACCAAAGGTGAGTGTTTCCTTCCTGGATCTGTTTCCCTTCAGACAGCAGTCCTGTTAACTTCTAGGATGGATAGGCTGGCTTCAACATACGTGTGTATGTTGTTTGTTATTTATTGACACGCAAAAGTCAATAACTGCATTTTGTTTGATGTCCATTACTATATTTATTTGTATGTACTTTATTTCACAACTTGAAACAGCAAACGCTGTGAATTTAAGATCTAATACACTGTTAATATAATACTGATCTGACTCTGATTTTACTCGTTTAGCATTTAGTGCTGGAATGTGAATTGGTCATTTGGATTTCAATTTAAAAAAGATAGTGCAAGTAAAATGGTAGATGATTAAATGTACTTTAAAGATCAATAAACTGAGTTAAGCATTGAAATAGAAGTCAACAAATTTGTATGTATTAATTTTGTCACTTCCCTTTTTTGAAGGTGGAGAACTTCATTTCCTTCAAATTGGAGGTGTGTGTGACGATATAGATGACGGAGACATGTTTATTGATGGCCCCCTTTCTAAAGGGGCTGAACTGTTGCTTGAGGGGGCCAAGCCCTCGTCCAACCCCTCCAGCCCTGGGATCACAGGTAAACTAGTTAACCAGACACAGTCAGTGTTCAATTCTTTAACCTCTCTGTGATACCGGTAATCTGATGTCCTACAATTGTCCCCCAACTGGCCTTTGTGCAGGAGTGGACCTCCTGGTGGACCAACCGCTGACCACGGAGAGCCTGATGTCTCTGGTAGAGCTAACACGCTTTGAGACGTTGACCCCCCGCTTCTCGGCCACAGTGCCGCCGTGCTGGGTGGAGGTGCAGCAAGAGCAGCAGCAGCGCCGCCACCCACAGCACCTTCACCAGCAGCACCATGGAGACGCAGCTCAACACACCCGCACCTGGAAGCTTCAGAGTGATGGGTAGCTCAACAAACTAAACAGTAGTCGTACTGGTGATGTCATATGTAATTAGTTATAGGAACACCTAGTGTATGACCTCCATTTCTCACTATGTCACATGATGACATCATAGTTGAAATGTACATACAGTTTATTTCATTGATACTGTCTGAAGGTCTGTCTGCAGCCATTTCCACATGATGGCTTTCTCTCTAGCAGCAACAAGTAATTTAAAGAGATCTTCATCCTGTGCCATGAGTTTATCTGGGTTGGTTTAATATAATATAACAATGGAGCAATTCATTTCTTTACAAAAATTTCCATTATGTCATTAGCAATCTCTTCCTAATATGAAAACGTTTCAGTTTTATAAGTTTTGGAAATATTTTTTGGGATCAAAGTAAAATCCCCTGTCTGCATTGTGATAGGTGGCCTTAAAACTTGCCTGATAGAAAACATGGAAGGTCTCCTCCTCCTAATGAGTCATCTACAGTGTTTCAGTTGAACGTCTGAGCAGGTGGTGATCTGTATTGTCTTTGCAGCTCCAGCTGGGACGAGCATGTGTTTGAGCTGGTGCTGCCCAAGGCCTGCATGGTGGGCCATGTGGACTTCAAGTTTCTGCTGAATGCCAACATAGTCAACATTCCTCAGATCCAGGTCACCTTACTGAAGAACAAATCACCCGGGCTGGGCAAAGTCAGCGGTGAGGACACTGCTATGAGATGCATTCTTTTTAAAACCTCTTGATTACTTTACACATACATCCAGGTTGCAAGATTGTTCTTTGCAACTGCCGTGATTTGATCGGGATTATCTTTTTTTTGCAACTATGGTGTTTCAAGATGTTCTTTCTTGTCTTTTCAATACCCGCTAAAATGAATTGGGGCGTTTTGAATATGGAACCGCTATCTGTATCTAAATCTTGGCTTTCATGTCTAACAGAGACGGCGGTAGACAGACAGATCTCCTTCCCCCTCTCCAGCGTGCTCCATGCTAACGGGGAAAGGAACGGCCAGCCTCTGCTGCATGACTTCACAGAGGACATCCAGTTCATGGACATAGAAGAGACATCGGGTAAAGAATGCAACCAGTTTAGTTTGAGATTATCTTTGATGAATCTGTTTTTTTATTTTGTTGAAAGACTCTTTCAATTTGTTTTTTAATAAAGTAAATATATCCATTATTGAGTGCATCACTACGACCAGTAGAGATGCACCGATACTGCTATCAATCCGATACTGACTCAAATAACTGGATCGGGTATCGGATTTCTTTTAATATATAACTATTCAATATATATTTTTGTTACATTTTGTTTTTACAAAGTTAGGAAAGCAATCTTTAAGTCAAGCCTGTGGTAGCCTTACACATAGCCGAATGATTCCAGTCTCTTCCACACAGTGAGGCAAACTGCTCATCAGGGCTGGACATTACGCTTTTTCAGCCACTTGCCCCTTTTCTATTGTTGAATTTATGAAATTCAAGGGATAGAAATGCATTTATTTGTTTGTGATGACCACGCCCCTGCCTTTTATTAGATTTTATTTTATAAACACTTGAATATGTGTAATATTCGCCCTGAGTATAAGGTTCATGTGTTTGCTGTAGGCTCCATGCTGTGTCCATTCTTAGAGGACCATAAGGAGGACATCCTGTGTGGTCCAGTGTGGCTGGCTAGTGGGCTGGACCTCTCTGGCCATGCGGGCATGCTCAGCCTCACCAGCCCCAAACTGGTCAAAGGTAACGACAGTCACATCTAACGTTTCTGATCCCTGACCTGATCAAACCTGACATTGAAGTTTTTTGTGCTCAGGAAGATGATTTTAAGAATCAGCCATGAGGTTGTGGGTTTGTCAGTGTTTCTGAGTTGTCCCGTCGCTCCCTCCACTGCAGGCATGGCAGGAGGCAAGTACCGGTCCTTCCTGGTTCACATCAAAGCCGTGAGTGACAGGGGTATGGAGGAGAGCCCCCGGCCTGTGGTGAGAATGCCCAGTGCCAAGCCTCAGGGCACCAAAGCCCACTCACTGTCTACCCTGCTGCAGCGGGCTCAGGCCTCCAAGGTACCAAATCACAACTTCAAGCCTTTTTTAAAAATGGGTTGATATTTGTTCCTGTCTGTTTTCAAACAATGCTCACATGACCAAACAGTTTGCTCCTGGAGTGATTTCAATTTAAGTGCTGGGACCAAATGCACAGTCCTATTTCAGTCCAAATATATATTCCAAAGTTTACCTACAGTTGGTAATATTTACAGTCCTTTTAGTGCAGTCTGTAGTCACATTTATTTGTTTGTTTATTTTGTGTGTGTGTGTGTGTGTGTGTGAGTGTAGGAGAAGGTGTCGGCAGTGAAAACAGAGTCTGCAGCACCGTTGAAGAAAGTAGAAAACCTGCGAGGCTGTGACCTGCTGCAGGAAGTGTCAGTCACAATCAGAAGGTTTAAGAAGACCTCAATGCCCAAAGAAAGGTCAGCTCACTGTTGAGGGATGGGACATCGGGGTCTGTTCACACTGTTATATAATCATAATGTTGTGGTAATGAACAGTAAACACTGCAGCAGTAAAACACATCATACAGAAAAGGTTAGTTTAGTAACTCATGCAATCAGATGATGATGTCTCTACCGTACAGATTGCAAAAGTTAACTGTCTTTTTTTGATCTTCTGTGCTTTTCAGGGTCCAACGCTGTGCTATGCTGCAGTTCCCAGACTTCCACGAGAAGCTGCTGGACGCGCTGTGTCGGCGGACAGACGTCAGCCCGGCCACTGAGCATGCTCAAAGCCTCATCCTGGACATCTTGTGTTGGCTGGCCGGAGTTTTCTCCAACGGACCCTGCAGGTAGGACGAAAGCTCCAGCATAGCAAATGAGACACCTGGGTCACACACAACTTCCAATTCAACATTTTACAGACAAGTCAAATATCCTTTGTCTTCTTTTTAGTGTAAGAGAAGGAAAGGAGGGTCTGCTGGCAAAAACCCGGACGCGGCTAACGGATATTGTGCGAATGTGTTTCTTCGAGGCTGGCCGCAGCATAGCGCACAAATGTGCTCGCTTTCTTGCACTTTGTATTAGGTAAGGAGCATGGTTAATTTCAGTAATGATGCCTTCAGCTCTCCAAAATATGTGGCGTAACCACAGTAATTGGTGCACAGATGAAGTACAGTAATTACATTTCTGGCTATCACAAACGGTCAGTCCCAAGGTGTATTTAATGCAAGTTGAATTTAGTTACTCAGTATGAATACTTAATTAATTAATTAATGAATTAATTAATTAATACAGTTCAATCTGGAGGTGACGTAAGTTCTTGGCTCGTAAACAGTGAACCTAATACTTCATACACACAAACCATGTAATCAGCTTCTCTATCAATGAAAGGTTAATTAACATACTAAATAGTAAATAAATGAATGAATAGATGTTGACAGCGGCATTGAATACATGAATGAGGACCCCCATATACCAGATTAGGCATGACTGATATCTGGGCAAGATGGATTAACTTGTGTAAAAACAGGAGACTGTGGAAAGTTGTAAAGGAAAGAGTTGTGCTGGAGGGGAGGAGGCAGCTAAATTCCATAATTACAAAATAGTTTGCTTCTGTAAATGTTACAGGTTTCGAAAATGCCAACCCCACCCAAGTGTTACTTTTAAAAGGCACTTACCAGTAACTAACTCCCCAACAGATGTGTGCAGAGGCTGCATTCTATATGGACAATGCATTGCAGCAAAACACACTTGCTGAATATTTAGTATTAGAATATATCAGCTGTATATTGAAGAGGACTTCCTTGTAGAACACATATCCTGCGTTATTAATTGTTTGTCGTGATGTGAACCAGCTGTTGCATTCCTTCCCCTGAGAGTACCTGAACTTGGATTTATTCAGTGCCCTAATATAGGTTCAGGAGAACACTGGAAAGAAAAGCAGAACCATGATAATGGTTACTCCTTATGTTATGGATAGTTACGTTCCTGTGGTCGAAAAGGCCTGTATGAGGAAATAGTTGTTCTTTCATCATCCCTTGTGTATTTTGTGTTTATATGGTTAATATTGATCATGCTGTTGTATTTCTCGCTGTAGCAATGGGAAAGGGGAGCCAAGTCAACAGGGTTTTGGCGTGAGTCTTCTGAAGGCTATGCTCGACAATATGCCTTACTTGCCTGCAGCAGCAACAGGTGGTAAGTAACTGAACAACAATACAGAACAACAGGTCGTGTCTAGATGGTTACACTAGATTTGAAAAGCTGTCGAGACTCTCTGCCCGACGACCTATCCTCACCTTAACCATCACCATGCCATAGTTTGGCAAATCTAAGATAACCATCCAGACAGGACCACAGCACAACCCAGTACTCACTTCCACACCTCTTCCTCTCTGTCTGGTGTCAGGCTCGGTGTTCTGGTACTTCGTGTTGCTGAACTACGTGAAGGAAGAGGACCTGGCGGGCTGCAGCACCTCCTGCGCCTCTCTGCTCACAACTATCTCTCGACAGCTGCAGGACCGCCTCACCCCGCTGGAGGCACTGCTGCAGACCAGGTACTCAACTGTTCAGTTCAAGAGTGGCTTCCATGCCCCTGCAGGCTCGTGATGCACCAATACCATTTCATTTTATTACTTATTATTAGTCGACACAAGGAGTGGCTGAAGTGATGCTCATTTATACTGCTCGGTATTGTCTCATGTGTCCTTACTTCCTTGATGTTTCAACCTAAACACAAGCGTCTGCTCTCCCCTCTACTGTCCACTTCCTTCCAGGTATGGCCTGTACAGCTCTCCCTTTGACCCGGTGCTGTTTGACCTGGAGGTCAGTGGTTCCTCCTGTAAGAATGCCTTCAACAGCAGCATCGGAGTCCAGTCGGATGAGATTGACCTCTCTGACATCTTGTCAGGTATTAGCTATGCACTAGTCTGACTCACTGGATGTAGACTGTGGGCATATGCCACCATGTATCTCATGTGACATTCTCCTCCCACTATCTATTTTGCAAGGGCACCGGCGCTGCATCTTGTGCTTTGCACCACACAAAACAATTGTGATTGGTTTAAACTAGGACTCGACTCGAATATCCAACTATTTGACAATTCGTTGGGTAGGTATTTTTAGTTTTAAATTTTGGAATTTTTTGTTGTTTTTTTTAACGCCTCTAGATTACAAACATGCATAAAACACAGCAAATCTTTTGGGAAAATTTTTTTTATTCAATAACGAATAAAAATACAAACAATATTGTAGAGTAACCTAATGTAGCGCTAAGCCGTCCACCTCAGCTGAGAACAGAGAAATGTCTGGCTGAGTCCTTCCTGAGTCATGTCATGGAGACCAGCCAAGGCAGAGCCTCTCTTTGCTTGTGTCAAAACGTTCGCCGATGCAACGCTTGTGGAGCTTGTGTAAAAGGGCTTACAGCCAGACACTGCTGGAAAAGTTTAGTGTAATGCGGAAAGACGAACGCTGCCGTTTAGGGGGAGAGCCGGCCCGCACTAGTGCACACACAGACGGTCGAGGACAGGATGCGCTGAGCGCAGGGTAGAGTATGTGCTCTGTCCACACGAGTTGGAAAAACGGCACAATTTGTTCCAAAAAGCATGTAGGGCGAGCCCCTGAGTGAGTGACGGAGCACATGTGCTGCTTAGAGTCTGTGCTGCCGGCTTACCGAGAGGTTAAAGCGCTGACATGGATGTCAACTGCAACAAGGCTGGTTTTAACCTGCTCGCTGTGGACTGATGATTAAGATACATTAGGCTGTCACTGAGTGCAGACAAAGTAAGGTTACTTTAAAAGGATTTGAACTTGTAATGTATTTTGGCTATTTAATATCAAGAGCTCGTGTACAAACATGGCTCCAGTTCTTTCACTGTTAACCAGGTATGGATGTAAACACTCTTCAATTAAACCTTCAAGTTAGCACTTTCATGATATTACTTCGAGCGATTAATCAAATCTACTTCATGTGCAAGCATACTATAAAATGAAAGCACATTGTGAAAGGACAAAAAGCTCTTAAGTTTCTTAAAGAAGTGTTGTGATGTTTTCTTGAGTGTGTTGTTGTTTGGTGTGGTGTGTCCTGTAGGGAATGGAAAAGTGAGCAGCTGTTCAGCAGCAGAAGGCAGCTTCACAGCATTAACAGGACTCCTGGAGGTAGAGCCTTTGCACTTTACGTGTATCTCCACTAGTGATGGCACACGGGTGGAACGAGACGACGCCAGCATGTTCACTGGTAAACATCCCTTTTCTTTCATTTCACTTGTTAGTCTCATGAATTGGTCATTGCCTGAACCTCAACTCTTTAACCTCAGTGAGTACATTCGGTGTGACGCCTGCGGTGGGCGGCCTGTCGACAGGAACGGTTGGTGAAGCTTCTACAGCTCTGAGCTCTGCAGCCCAGGTGGCGCTCCAATCGCTGTCTCACGCCATGGTATCTGCGGAGCAGCAGCTGCAGGTCTTGCAGGAGAAACAACAGCAGCTTCTGAAGCTGCAGCAGCAGGTGAAAGACCAAGACACACACACACTTTTGTGTTTAAAAGAGCATTAGTTGCAAAGTGAGAAAACACAAAGTCAACATCAAGAAATATTCTTTAGACACTGGGAAGTATATAGTAGTACTATGTTGCATTGTATACAGTGTAACATTGCCCCCTCTCCAATGCAGGCACTTAATGAAAACTAACACAATATGTTGTATGTAACATTGTCATGGATTTTGATTTCTCTCTGTCTTTTTTACCCCCACTAATTGAGATACCCAAAATTTGAATGGGGACTAGAGAAACATTCTTTGCAGTATACAGTATATATATGAAATATACTTTGCAATTGTTGCAAATGTCATTGAAAACTATCTTCCCAACTAAAGCTGAACTTGACCATGCAGGTTGAGTCAAACTGAACTATTTCAGTACAAACTTCTGGCTCATATGACTCCGGATGTATCCAGCTGTAGAGTTTTTCTCTGCAAGTTCTTATGCTGTTTTAATACCATTTTAAGTGTTTTTATCCAGTGGTTAGTGATATCTATTTGTCTGTGCTGGGAACAGAAGGCCAAGCTCGAGGCCAAGCTGCATCAGACCACCTCTGCAGCAGCCACTGCCTCCGGTGTGGGGCCCATCCACAACTCTGTGCCTTCCAACCCCTCCTCTGCTCCGGGCTTCTTCATTCACCCTTCAGACGTCATCCCCCCGACACCTAAAACCACGCCCCTCTTCATGACCCCGCCTCTCACGCCGCCAAACGAGGCCGTGTCGGCGGCCTTCAGCGCTGAGCTGGCACACCTGTTCCCCGGCTCCATGATGGACCCAGGGCCTGTCAACCTGGCCACGCACAAGAACACCCAGAAAGCCAAGCCGGTTAGTTACATGCAGCTACATGCTATGCTAGTTAATGACAGGGCTGGGAATCAAACCTCAGCACATTTTTAACACCAACTGTCAGCGCCAAAAACTGGCACCAAATGTCTGGCCAGATTTATTCTTGTCCTCACTTTCTGATTTATATCGATATTAAGACTGTTATTGTAGCAGTTATAGGACTGTTTGGATTAACAGAGTAGCAACATGTTGGTGGTTTGGCAGTACTCTGGCTACTTAAAGCCCTGTTTGGTCTTTCTGTTTGATAGAGGATGAGACAGTCTAAGTGGGACAAGGCTACTTGTAGTCTTAACAGGAAACAGATCGCTGCTGTATATAGTTATACTCTGTAATTCAACAGACATGATTCCCTGGTTGTAAACATTTCACGCTGGAGGATTTGTAAGGAGCCTTACAGACAAGACTGAAGATTTATGTTTACTTTTATATATATGTATGTGTATA